ATGTTTTATAATTGCTGTAAGGATGATCAAAGCTTACTTTGTCATTAACCAAGATATACTGAGTTATCAGTTGTCACTGTCAGCATCCTGTAGATGTCTGGAACACCCAGAGTTTCTCAGATGGTTAGTGGAAATCCAGGGCTCGATTCAATTGCACACACATACACATCTGATGCTGTTAGCAGAGCCAGGCAAGATAAAGCAGAATAAGAATTAAAACACTGATGTGAAAAGGTGTAAAATGCTGTAAGGAAAAAGCAGAGTCAGAAAATGGCAATTTGGTGACAGTGGCCAGTGAAGACTCTTCTGGTGTCTTGCACGGGGAGGTGATTAAGTTAATGCTCAGTCTAGTAGCCTACTAGTCAGAGGCACCTGTATTAACCAATACATGACTACTTTACACTGTTAAATTGTGTGTATCTACTTGCAGGATTTTTTTGCAGGTGGCAGAAGGTGTCTGGCAAAGTGACTCACAAGGGGTGCAGATTGGCAGGGGATGCAGAGAAATTTAGTTATTCTCAAGGAGGAATAACAGAAGCTGAAAACAACTGTGCAGTTTGGTGTTGCCATAACGATTCAAATTAGAGATTTATAGCTTTGACTTTATGGGAACTATTAGTGGCACCAATATAAACAGGGGAGAAAATAAGAGTATTAACTTCTTCCATCCTGTGGAACTTTAAAGTGGATGCACCCAGTTCACTGAAGCAGGAAGCTTTAATGGGACAGAGTGCACTAAGAAAAGCAGGAAAGGCATTTATAATCTGTCAAGAAAATACTACATTTAAACCAAATACTCAAGTTTCTCCATAATGGGCTTTATAAAGAGTTGCAGAACTTGGAATGACAACTGCTGCTTTATAGATAGAAAATGTGGAATTGAAATACAAAATGAAAATGCTGAAGGAACAGGAACAGAAAGTGCTGAGCAAGGGGAACAGGACTGGTGGGAGTGAGCCGACTTGTGTGCCTCTGCTGCAGAACTTGTACCCAGCACTAAGGATGTGAGATCTGAGAGGGTGATGAATGGCATACTGGCAGTCAAAAGAAGTGTGAGCAGCTGTGGAGCATTGAAAGAGAAGCAATTTGTGGATCAGACCATTTGGCTTGCCAGAGGCTGATTCAGTCTTTGAAAAGGGCACTGCAGAAAAGCAAGAGGATGGTTCCACCTCTCAATGCAGGGTTTAGAGACAAAGACGTCAGGCCTTGGGATGTTTTGATTTGGTTCAATCCTTTGATTTGGCTCTACTGGATTTCCCAGAAGGCACAACCTGTTCTCTCTGTATACCACTTTGTAAAAGGAGTTGAAACAGATGACATTTCCCCTGGCTCAGATGGCTCTGGTTGTTATCAAAGTAGTCCAGAAAACTGATGTGGATGTGCATGAACAGCAGGAAATGCAATCAGTAGTTGATTCAACCTCAGAACGAGTATGAATTGTACCACAGGTGTCCAGTCCCTTGAATGATACCTCTGCAAAGTGCCTGGCAGGACTTCTAGAAACCCCTGGAGTGCTGGTGAGATTTTAACTTTATTGCTAGGATATCTACCACTCCATCCAATTAGGCAGTTTTATCAGCAGCATTAGAGGAACTCCAGCTGCAGAAGAGAACTCACAGCATTGGGTGTGAAGGACTCCAAAAGCATCAATGGCTCCCAAACTGTTGGATAGTTATCTGGAATAACAGAAAGCTGAGGAAGCACTAGAGCAGTATTTATGAAGGAAGCACACACTGGTATGAGACTCGGGTTTTGTGTGGGAAGGAGCTTAGGAGGACCAAGAACATAAACATGCAGTGATGAATGGATTGGCTGAGTGGATACCCACTTGACATATAAACTCCACCATGCAAACAGGAGTTCATCTCAGTGCTGATGAGCAAGTGAGTTAGGACTACAGCATTCCCTGATGCTGGCACTCTCAGGTAACAGGCATGTTCACCACAACTTAGACTCCTTTTCAATGACAAGCTGAGGTTCCTCCTGGACACAGTCCATGATTCAATGTATGTATGTGCATCTTGTGAAAAGCCCATCATCTTTTCCTTGCCTGCATTTTGTGAAAGATGGCAGCTTGGGATAAACTGTGAAATGTTCTCAGCTACATTCTAAGCCACTCTATTATTTTATTTTTTTTTTGGATGTCTCATGTTTGCACTAATCTATGAGGTGTTTAATGCCAACCCTTCTCAATTTAGTTGTTGGTTTGGGTTGCTGGTTTGTTTTTTTTAAAAGGACATAAATGTTTTTTTTCCTACCTTCTGGTACTCAGCAATTCTGAAAGACATAATCCTTCCTTCTCATAGCAGCTCCTGGTGTTATTAAGGAAAATATTCAGCAAAGTATCTCCTCTGACTAGGCTTCTGAAAATCTTTTACCTTATCAAAAATATCTTTAGTCCAAGACACATTGTGACAGACTGCTGCATTAGATCCCCCCCCCCCCGACATATTTATCTACATGCATCTTTTGATTTAAAATGTATTCTGGAGGTAACTGAGAAATGTTTAAAATCTGACTGCCAGCATAAAATGTAACCTGAACATGAACATGTATTTTATGGTGTGCCAACATACCAAGATTACATAAATGTGCTGTATCTTTTTAAGGAAGTTAGTAGCATGTAATGGATTTTATACAACTTAGATATTTTTGTACTCAGTATTTTTTCTGTAGATTTTGCTGAAGAGCTAACCTGTAGCTCATAATACTTACAAGCCAAAGAGAACAGGCTGGCAGAAAGCAAGGAGACTGGGTGTCTGACCTGTTTATGACAAAATGTTTCCAGAGACAGCAAAATGAGAAAGGTAATGCAGAAGACATCAAGGAGAAAACAAATTAGAAGTAACAGTCTGTTAGAGTCTTTTTAAGTGTAACCATTTGAAAACATGTGCATGAGCTAATGTGCAAATATTAATACAGTGGGAAATGAAGTGGGATGTTAACCAGATGGCCACCATATCAAAGGAGCCCAAAAGAATTTCCCAACCAAGCTTATTTCTCATTTTCCACACAGCTGAAATGGGTGATGTTGATGTGATTGTCTATAATTGAGTAAATTCACATGTGGCTATTGATAAGTATTTATAATCTGAATGAGAAATTTGGTGTTGATCTGATTTCCTCATCAAAACAGGACAGAGATAAAAGCTGCAGCAACAAAAATCACTATATAATAATGTCATGCACAGCATTCAGTACGAAAATGGAAAAATAATGTTAAGAAAAAATATTCTGCAAAGACTACTGCAAAGGACAGGGACAGTAAATATGTAATTAAAGCAAACAGTTGCCACTGTGTATGATGACCTGTTCAGGGTTATTTTCTTTAATTCTTCAGGTTAATCTGATGATGCATGTAAAAATGGAGGGAGTTGATGGGTTTTTTTAAATTTCTCTTTAAAATCGCTGCAGTCCTCTCACAGAATAAGCTCCCTTAATATAAAACTTTTATCAGAGGAGTGCAATTTCCCATGCAAGGAAACCCAGAATTTTTGTTTTAATGAGAAAAAAAAATTGTTCCATCACAACACATGAGAACTTGTCTTACGTTAACAGTCTCTAAATACAAGTCATACAGTATGTATGACTGGATAGAACTGAGGCAAAACTACATTCTTTAGTTATGATTCATACCATAGCCAAGATGACATTTTATTTTAAAAAAAACAACCCAAATAAACAAATCCCAACAGTCTTACATCCATTCTGGTAGGTGTTATTTGTCCTTCACAGTCACCTAAACACGAAGGAAGGACAGAGATTGTGGCCCAGTGGTGGGTCTCAACAAAATGACAAACGTGGCCAGAAATTATTGCATCCCCTCCTTGTGGACTGGAGAGCTGTCAAATGGTGCCCCTTGCCTACCATTGCTGTGGTGAACTCTGAAGACAGCTTTGCATTACTGTAACTGAGGGACTGGTCAGAAGAATTGCCCTCACCTAAGATGAAGGTGGTGTCAAGTACCAGAAGGAATCTGAACTCTGTATTTTTGAAGCATTCTGCTTTGAATACAGCTACTGTCATTCTCCTTCACACTGGCACCAAGATGGGTATTTTTGGCTATGCTCAATGTTTCTCACCTTCCTGAGCACCTAGAAGTGCATTACTTACCAAGTGAGCCTCGATGGAGCTCAGCTCCATCTATTTAGCAGCAGCTTCTTCTAAGAACTCTACATATATTTAATAGACTCATGTCAAAAGAGCCATTTAGTTTCCAAAAGACAAGTCATCTGCATCAGTAAGCAGTAAAGGGCCTTGAAACTACCCATCTCCCTTTTGGCAGATGCCCGCATAGAGAGTTTTTGTGTTCATGCTGCCTGGCCCTCCCAGCCCTTGTATTCAGTATAGCACTAGAGCCTCAAAGTGTGTCAACATGCAGCACACAGAAACCTGCATTGGCATCCAAACCACAAGTGGATGGAGATGTGCTCACCACAGGTTAAAACCTCTCCTGTTCAACCAAAGCCAGTGAACACTGGGGACTCTTAACTCACTGACAGACACACAGCATTATACCTCACTGTGGCTAAGAGCAAACTTGCAAATTCTGTCTCCCCTTCTGTCCCCAGAGCTATCTCAGCTAAGGGGCATCTTAGTCATGAATGAGTGAGGTATAGCTCCCCTTACCTGCTTCTGGTGTATGGTGAGCTGCCTCTCATTTAGGTCAAGTTCTTCCCAGTTCCTTGAGCTGCTGACACCACTGCTGGACCATGCATGCAACTGGTTTGTGGCAGGACTGGGAAAAAAAGAATTGCTCTTCCAACTAGAAATTACACTTTTGTATCATTAATTAAACAAAAACAGTGAATACAGAATTCAGGGAGTAAGTTTTACTTCTTTTTAGGTTTGAGAGTGCTCTGCTGTCCTGGCTGATCCCGTGGCAAGTCTGCCCATGTTCAACTTTAAAATAAAAAGTAGTGGCGTATGCTGATTACAGCAGGTGGATTGTCCAGTCCTCTTTTTAATGATCTTGATTTTAATCACAGACGTATCCCTACTAGAGGGAATCAGAACCCAGTGCTCACAGCTTTGGGACTTCGCATCAGTACATCAGAGCATAGAGATTCTTCACTGCTCCCACTGTAAATGTGCAGGATCTCAAAACAAACTCAGATATGAAAATTCAGCCTTTCAGATGCAGCACCCTCTTCTGAAGCCTTATAAAAATACCAATGCAACATAGAGCCATTTTACAAAACAATTATCTTTATAGAAAGGTATTTTAGTGGTATATGCTGAGGTAAATACTAAAAACAGACCCAACAGAGGGCATGACCAGTGTTATGGAGAATTCCGGATGAAATTTGGCCAAAAGCCTGTTTTATAAAAGCTAATATTTACCTACCAGTTACGATCCTTGGTAACTGCTTATTGCTGTAATACTTCAAAATTATTCTTCAGTTTACAAATTGAAAAATATACGAAATTAGATCTGTATGAATGTTAGAGATTAGCTGTCACAAATTTTAAAAGGCATTGTACCAAGTTTTCTTAATTGTTTACTAACCAATTTGATTGTAGCAGGTAAAGAAACTACAGCATACATTTTACCTGACACCATGCATCCAAATCACCATAAAAACTAAGTTTGATATCAAAGTCCAACTCCACAAGGAAAACATTAAAAAGTGCAAATTATGTACCCAGTATTTCTGTCACAGCTGTTTTTTCTTAATATGGCATGAAAAAGGTTTACAGCATATATTAAGAAAATTCTTACAAGTGTTCACCTCAATGCTTATATATACAACATTTTGCTCAAAGTGCTCACTATATGAAAAAAAACTGATTGGATAAAAATATTTAAACAGTGCTTTCTGAACGTTCAGGGAAAATTCATATAATACATCAGTCCCATTTGTCTTCCTCTTCACTCAGTGCAATGAGATGCAGAAGTCATGTCAACTTCATGAAAACTTTGCTTGCCACAGTGCCAGAAAACCTCAGTTAGAGTGGCATTCTTGGTGTCCCATTGGGAGTGGGTCTCTTATTTTTTTGCATGTGGCTTTGATGTTTTCGAGATCTTACTACTTTCATTCTTACTTCAAATACTTCTTGTATGGCTTTTCGAAAGCAATGGAAATTGTAGTCTATTAATCCTACAGAGACAGAAATGGTTTCAGTATTAATGAAGACATTTATACAAATCAGGAAATGAAAAACTGCTTATATTCTGCATTTAGCAAAATACCACACTGTCTCTCCAGAGGTCACAATCAGTGAATTTTCCAGCCTTTTTTTTTTTTCTGTGCTGAGCAAAAGCATATTTTATAAATGCAAATCATTCAATTAACATTATAACTTCACACTATGTCCAATGTTAAATATCCTTGTTAGTCTTAAGAGAAAACAAGTAGAAGTTCATTGGCCAATAACACAGCCTGAACTTAATACAGAGCTTTGGACAAGTGCTCAGTATACTGCAAGAAAAACTAACATCTTTCATAAAATACAGTAAATTAACTTTACAGAATAACTGTGTGAAAAGTAAGTACCATCTAGTAAAAGAATTTTCTTTTTTTTGACAATGCATTAACTTTGAAATGGACACTTGACAGAAATATTACCAAATAAAAGCCAGTTATATTTAATCTTAAATTGTAATTGAAAAACAGCACAATAGACATGCTGTTAGATTACATAAATACATAATAGGCAGATATTACCACGTGAGTGGGCTGACTGTGATCCCACAGAAAGCTGTAAAGCCATATCGGTAGTCAATCAGAAGGCTTACTGGGTGCTACAATTGTGTAATACTGCAATACAATTTTAGAATTCTGCTATTGAGCATATGACCTCATTCAAGGTTAATGCCATAAGCTTTCTTAACTCAAATATTGGAGGGTTTTCCACTTTTATTTCCCTAATAGGAGATGATACATATTTTAAGTGGTTTAAATCCACCATGTTACACTTGGATTTTTTTTTCCCCAGGACTCTTCTTCCCTCTCCCTAGAGTTTAGACAAATGATTATGTGGAAGTCGCCAGGCACCAAAAGCTAATCTGCATTTTAATACCAGAACTGTACTGTTAAAGAATCCAGGCTACAGCACTAAGTGTCCCTACCTATGTAGATGCAATGACCTGACACAGTTGTAAACAAACCCTAATTGGTGTTTATTCAACATGGTGTCTTTTCTGAAACAGTCTTCTTAGTAGGTATGTCAAACTAACACTTCTTATGCTTACAGGAGAAAAAGAAAGTGCCCACATTTAACATTCACTGGCAATAAAGGCCATAAGGGTATTGAACAGAAAATCAACGAATAAAAGTTCAATAAAATAAAAGCTGAATAGCCTGTCAAGCAGCCTAGCAGACATGGCATGAGTACTGCATTCATCAATGGGGATGCAAGCCCAGATGATGGCTCATTCTTCCACTGCTCAGCTCTGGTCTCAGAGCATTTCACTAAAACCAGTAACTCAAGAAACATCATGCCAGCAAGCAGTGATTGTGAACTAAACTTTCAATATTGACCTTGACCAGGGTCAGAGAGAGAAATGAGAAATTTTATGACTTTAAGCCACCTAGTTCCCAAATATGCAGCTTTTCAAAGGCCTCCTCTCACAGATGAGAAGAGCATGAACACAGTTCCTTCTGTCAGCAGTTTCACTGATTTTTCCCTTGGTTACAGCATGCAAGCTGTTGCAAATGCATATGCTGGCACCACCAGGTACAAATCCATGTTAGCCAAGATAAACTGACACATTCTACTGTTGGAAGCTTCACTGCACTGGATGTAAACTTTCATATGCTTTCATATTAGACAGTTGTCAAATACATTTATGATTTCATCTTATCTTAATGCCAGCACAAATACCTCATGCCTTTAAACGTGTTATTTAAGCTCTATCAAGCTGTACTTACCTTTAGTACTTGTGATACAGCTACAGATTGTTACAGCTAATGACAACCACAGTTATTCATTAACTTGCTAATGTAAAGGAAACATAAAGCAATATTAGAAAAGGGAAAAATACCTTTTCTCTCAAAGCTTTCTTCTCTGACAAAACAAACAAGAGCAAGGAATTTTGTCACCTCCTTTAAATAAAGGACAGTTGTGTTGTTCAGTTTTATGATTGCCATTGATTCTTTGTCATAAGGAGTTCCAGAGCCATCATCTTTAAGCCTAAGGGGCAATATTCAAACAAACAAACAAGAGAAGATAAGCCACCAGATGAGCTAACAAAAGTACTCCCACATTTATACCTTCACTAGACTATCTTAAACTTTATGAAATTTTCATTTTAATCTCTTCTTTGAACTACACACTACATTAACTAGGACCACATAGACATGTATGCAATCACACACCAAATCTTAGATCTGGGGCTAGAAATCAGGTTGTTTGATTGCAAAGTAACCTGCTACAGAGCCTTATTTCTTTCTCTGTTAGTAGGCAACCTTTTCTCACAAGGTTGTCTGGTTTTTTTTTAAGCAATGCACTTTATCTGAAACATGTGAACCAGTAGGTTGGTACTAATAACCTCACTTGAGCAGTGGCAGCTGACTGATTGTTGAAGCCATCATGAGACTTCCCTCATGAGATGTTGGCTTTTGCAACATCATATAATGAAAAGAGATTTCTCCTTTACAGATGACGTGTCATGATGATTATTGTGTTAAGTTTTATACCTTGTAATTTTACACTCATTCCTGAATGCACACACAGATCTTGTTAAATGGATGGCTATCACCAACATCCCAGAACAGTTAGCATCAGTAATATAAGGCAGCCAGTTCAACAAATGCTCCAGGAACAGAGGACAAGAACTGAATCGTAAGATCATGTCTTTAGTCTACAGCTAAAAACACAGCAAGCAGATTTCTGGTGATAAATGCTAAATGGTTCTACAAAGACATTTTGTGAATAGAGAGCCCCACAAGTGGAGTTGTATGGATAATAATTCAAGCTAGTCTTTTGAACTACACAGTGACATCTTCCTCTGTCCAAAAAAAAAAAAAAAAAGCGCCACAGAATCAGCATAATTTAGGGTATATCTCTCTAAAACGTAAGTTCTTGTACAGTTAAGTGACCAACTCCAAAATCCAGAACAGACAGTAGAATATACAAACCTAAGAAATTTTAGAAAAGTAGTCATTCTTTTGAAGTTCTAATGCTTACTGCACATCTGCAATAGGATCGTTCCTCACCAAGAAGTCCATCCATGGGTACAGATGCAAGCCACCAAGGAATACCACACTCCAAACATGCTGTAATTTAGCTTCAGAGTCTATGCACCTTAATGCTCTAATTCACAACGTGCCTCTGCCTTTCTGAGGAACAGCTGGCAATACAGTTGGCCAAGAGCCAGGCCATTTAAAACATAACTTGCAAGATGTACAGGCTACCTCAGGAGATCTCCAGTTGCTAAAGTACAAGGAAGGGAGACAGAAGAAACCCAAACCCCGGAACAACAAAGGTCATGTAGCGAAAAAAGGACAGAGAGAACTGAATTAAGAGTGAAGCAGCACTCTGAGGCCAGTAGAGGCCACTAGCTATTAAAGTAAACAAAACTAAATATGGCACCACTTTTGTTGTTTGGGTTTTTTTCATCCTTCGGTTAAGTTTGTCCCTGGGGAATGAAAAGTTAATACTTCCTTTTATTTTAGGTTGGTTACTTCCCACTCCTTCGTCCACATAAAATTATTAGGATAAAAAGAGGGAGATGTTCACAAAAGATGTTTGCTGCTGGCAGAGGATCTGTACCTCAGAGGCCTTCTCTCCTGTCCTAACAAATTACACATTCTTATTACTGTTTATACTCACACCATTCTAATTTTGAGGCCGTTCAGATTCTAGGTTTTATGAAAAACATTTAACAATTTACTTACCCATATATACAAGAAATGTCAATCACAACATCTATCATATCACAGCAGAGCTCATAAGTTTGCATATCCACTGGAGTACTGTCCGTTGCAATATAGATCTTACTGACTACATCAAATAAAAATGCTTTTTCAATCCCAGAATTCTATTTAAGAAAAAAAAGAAAGAAAAATAAAATGGAAGCCATGTCTTCAAATTAATATCAAGCTTTTTTTGTTCCCCTATTTTCCTGCTAATAAAGTATGCTGGAGAAGTGGAAGTAAAACTGCAGTCAAGCTCATTTTGGAAGAACTATACATACAGCACTGTTGTATTTGTAGCAAACCCTCTTGCTCACAGCCCTTCCAACAGTTTCTGCCTCTAAGCAGCCATAACACCAAGTTGTACTCCCAAACTTCGCCTCTCTGGAAAACATCTGGAGAGACTGCATTTATTTTCACTGGAAAATGCAGCTGGGGGGGGGGTAGTCTTCCAAGACCAAGCTTTTGGGTTTTTAATTGTAACAAAGCACATAAAAAGAGCTGTCATTTAAAGTTATTCTAACTGGAGATGTAAGAAGGCAGAAACAAGGAAAAAAAGTTTATGGGCACAGAAGGTTGTGGTGCTCAGGAAGTAATTTCTTAAGGAAATTGAGAAATTGCCTCATCAGGATCTGTATTTCTTTTACTGTCTGCTTTCTTAGAACATCTTGCAGGATCTCAGGAGAAACACCAGTAATGTGATGCTTCTTTTTCAGTTTCATGTAGCAGTGGTGGTTAAAGCCATGTTTGTAATACTAGTCTTGCTAATGTGATGACAGCTGTGTTCCTGTCATCCTGCCAAGCTCATTAAGAGTCCCTCCATACTGGAGATGTATCGTATTTGCAGCTCTCAAGAGGCCAGCCAGGAATGTTAGCTCATACTCTTTGCGTAGATAAGTAAACTGACATAAGCCTCTGCTTCCTGGAAAAAGAGGAAAAAATGTGTACTGTTTAACTGAAAACAGTAGCTTTGCTTACAGTTATCAAAGCATTGCACTTGGGAGCTGTCCCAGCATGAACACAAAGGGCAACTTCCCAGTAATGCTAAAGCTTAAGCTACAAAATACGCTCCAGAATCTACAAGGAAGAGAAGCAACTTTCTCCCATCAAACAAAATTTTCTCCATATATGGGCTTCCCTTTTTACTATAGCTTGGGACTGCCCTCACAGCACTTTTGTAACTACCAAAAACCATATTGAAAACCTGTAACAAGTTTTAACAGCTTCAGCTTCCTCTGCAGTTACAGAACTTTTCCTTTTTTTCCTTCTTCTCTACTACAACTATTTAACACATAGTGAAGAAACTAAAGTGACCTTCTCACCAAATTTCCTGAAATAGATAGAAAAATGTCAACCCTATGTATGCAATTGAACAATGGTCAGCAATATTTTGGGCATTTTCTTCTTAAAGAGGCTTAATTCTACCATCACTGCACACACAACTAAGGCTGGAAACACCCACCAATAATAACCAAGTACAAAGGTGAATTTCTTGCATTTCATTACAGAAAAGACACTGAGTGGCACATTTCAGAAATTTGTTAATAAAATATTCAAAACAAAGTACACACTGTGGATACCTTAGATACATGGGCTGAGGCACACGATGTACACAAGGAGAGCCTCAGAGCACTGGGTTTGTTCAGCCTGGAGAAGAGAAGGCTGCCTGCCATCTACAAATAACTAACGTAAGGGTGCACAGAAGACAAAAACCAAACTCTTCTCTGAGCAACAGTGATTCTGACTTGATACAGAAGAAAAAAAAATTCAGTGTGAGAACAGTGAAGCAGTGGGAGCGTGCTGACTTCTACTCCTGGAGATACCTAAAGCTGAGTACTGAACTCAGCCATGAGCAACCTGCTGTAATTGGCCTAACTCTGAGCAGAAGCTGACTTTTCAAGGTCCCATTCAGCCTACATGGATCTATTGGTCTACATTCGATGAGCACTAAAAGTAAAAATGTGCAGATGTGTATTTTAGTTATTCTCGCCACATCTGATAGTTCTGTAATTTTGATTTCTAAATAATAATTCTGACAACACCTCACATACTTCAACAGATGCTGTCAAATAAGACTAAGAGAAGATTTACCTGTAAATCTCATAAGTATATAGCTGTAATTCATTGCCCAAATATGTATTTGAAAACAGAAGTAATTTTACACAAAATAAGTTGGAACTCTTGGAGCCCTGTAGTGTCATTCATGAGAAGTCTGTTATAAAATTTTGGATTATATAAATAGACAGTGATAATTTCAGCTGTACAGGTAAGATATATCTTAAATTATTGAGATCTCAGTGACAATATAAGAATATTTAACAATGAGAGGTGATTTTTCCATCGCAGAGCTCCTGCTGCTACAGCCTGCCTGGACTTCCAGTGACGAGTTTAAAATGTTTTCATCTTGAGATGTTTGCCATGCCAGCAGTTAAGCCTACTGGTAAGGGCAAAGCTTGGTGTCTTAACTTAAACCATGCTCATTTTCAGTTGAAACTAATATTTCATAGCAGGACCTGCTGAGAAACTGGCACACACTTGTTTCTGTTTAACTCTGTATGGTGACACAAACCTCAGTGACAAGGTAGGATGGACTGCCAGGTCCACTAACCTGTACCCACATACTTTAACAGATTTCATTTGCCAGAGTTTTTAGAACAACTTTAACTGAAAAAGCAAAGGATTTGCTAGAATGTTTGAGACAAAATTGCTTAAGGGAAAAAAAAAACCCAACAATAAACCAGTACTAACAATAATTACAACTCACAAAAAAATCAGGAAATAGTGGATAAAAATACTTTTCAAAGAGACATTATACCATAAACACTCAGTCAGGGAAAATGGCAATAAGAAATCAGCTGTTTCTGTTACTTGAGTGGGGGAGGTTCCTTATTAGAGAAATAAAGGCCAACAGCTGCCTCGTGCAACTGAATTAAATGCTGCAATTGATGTCCATGACAGCAGGGCCAGAATAAGCAATAAGTCATCTCTGACACAAGCCCCAGTCTAGAAAGAAGACACAACACACACTACAAGCTCAGTCAATTACCCTGACTTGACGTGGGAGTATTCCATGACTAGTCTGAACCAAGAGAGTCACTGCAAAAAATCTGCAATGACTAGATGAGATTTTATTTTGGATTGGTAAAACCCATGAGGTAGTTGAAATTCAAAGAAGGCTTCTGAACTATACTGGATTTGATAAAGTTTCCAGTTCTTAAAATAGAATGGGTTCAGTAAAACTAGTACCATTACTCCAATTCCAAGGCTAGGTAAATAGGCTCATTTTTTACCTTCTTGATTGTATGAAAAGTTAGCCAGAATTTGGCCCTAAGAAAGTAATTTTGAAGAGAACTTACAGGATACCACTGGTCACAGTTAGGAATTAATTTTGGGCAATTATGTAAACAAGTCTTGCAGCAAACAGCAGATGTAGTGAATTAATTTAAATACTACATTTGAATTTACAAGTATGAAATTTAAATCATTAAACAAACAAAACTGTACTTATTTTCATTTTTACCATGATAACTCATTGTTTTTTAGCACATACTTTTAATATCCCTTAAGAAAACCCTAAGAACCTTAAAATGAAAATCCATACTCCTGTGCCACACAACTTGGTAATCAAAAAGCCATGGTAATTAAAAAACAGACATCCTTCTATATGAAGCTGACAAAGAGTGATAGGTAAGATTTACGTGGGTTTTGAATGCCAAACTGTTATTTTATTCTTTACAAGCAGTTACAGTGAAGAATGTAGAAGCAGTATTATCACCCTGATGGTTTCTCACACATACAACCTAAATGTGGCACTATCAAGTTAGGCAAAAACCTGCTGTGAACTTAAAAACTGATCACAGATCTATTCTTGCAATCATCAGCTTTTTGTGCTGAAAGTCTTCATGGCACAAATGAAAACAAACCCTCATGAATATTGCAGCAAAACCCAAACTAGAACACCAACACACCCACACTTTGATACCAAGCACACTGGCTTCCTGGGGTAAGACATGACCAGAATCCATGTCAAACTTTGTCTTCACTCAGTTGCTAAAGAGGCACTTGATAACTCATTCTGTGCTGGAGAATGATGGTTAGTCTCCCTGTGCTTGCAAACAGTGTCATTCTGAATCTTCTGTCTACGGACAGCAGATAATCTTAGAAACCGACCACAAGCATGTTGAGGACATAGCGATGCCTCCATGCCTTGCTTTAGGTTGTTAACAAACTGGATTTTGCTCTGTTTGGAACTAAGAAACAGTCTGAGACTGTTTCCCTTACTGAATATGGAAAATAGTGTACCTCTCTCAATTTTTTTGGACTTCTCATTCACGTGAAAGACTTGCTCTTCCTTACAAATTACATCTGATATTCCAGATATTATTGGAGCTGCCTTCTGGGTGTTCCAGACACATAAGTATCTGTCATCAGTCCTTCAAGAAGCAGCTTGTGCTTGATTCATCTGGTGGTTTGGCAGAAATTCTTTACCAACTCCAAATAACAAGGAGACCCCATACAGAGATCTGACTCCCAATATGAGTGATTGGGGTGACTCTGGCTCAAGGAGGACTATCATTCAGACAGCTTGATCTTATTTAAGACTGCGTAGCACATTCAATATCCAATTGCTCCACAACTGCTGTCAACACTCCTTCATTACCTTTCTGAGCTAAGTGGAGATAAAGACTGGATGATAACTGGTATATAGAATCATAGAATCCTAGGGGTTGGAAGGGACCTCGAAAGATCATCTAGTCCAACCCCAATATGGTCCAGCCATTTCCACAGAAACCTATCTGTGTACCATTCATTATGAAGTACCATCATTTGTTGCCTAAGAGTAAGAAAGCAAGTTTTGGAAGAATCTTCCTCTAATCCTAGCTCTCCCTTTCAGCAACACATCCAACTCTTCTCTATTTCCACAGCCTACACCAAGAAACTGTGAAGTCTAATTTTATCTTAAAAGCTGTTAAATGATATTAAATTAATTTCATTACTTCAAAAATCACAAAAAGGCACAAAAAAATACCTTGCTTGGAAAACGAAGCTTGACAAATGCTACATGCAAGGTGCAAAATCAGAATACTGTGAGAAAGGGAGCTGCTATGACCTGACTTCACCACCACCAAAAGGGGGAGTTCCCCCTTTTCACTACCCACTCACGATGTTCTCCTTTCCTCATGGCCACGTTTCCATCTTTTATCACGTGTCAAAACAAGAGGATGTTGGATTCCTCCATGGCCTGTTTTTAACTAAATTAAACAGTGCATTAATGCATCTCATAGTGACTCAATGTGGGAACAGGTGAGTGTCAACATCAACAGAAAGGAGAGGAAGGGAACAAAAACGCACAGGAGCAGTGGAGCAAGCAACTACCTCCACAGTAGTAACAAGCCCCTAGATATACAAAGCTCTCTAATTGGCATTCTTAACTATGGAAGCTGTGAAAGTTGCGATGTGACTCAACCTTCCAAAATTTCACAAGAGAAATTTCCTTAAGTAGTTTAAACTTCGATACGAAATATAATTAACGCTAGGAAGCTCTACAGAAGAGGTCAGACTAGATGATGTTCCATTTAAGAATTTATTTACACAAATTTTCAGTATTACTTAAGCAAATGCACGCAGCACAGAACTTTGCAGCATTCAGATTAATGTATGAGCAGAGAAGGGGTTAGTGCAAACCCACTTTATGTGACTGAGGAAACACTGAATATCTCAGCAGCTCAGCAACACTGCTTAATAGGCAGGGAGGGGAGGCCAAGCTGCACGTGGATGCATTTCAACTAAGTTTTTATAATTTCTCGGAGAGTTCACATTGCTCCTAATCTCTCAAAAGGCAGCAAACAGAGTATCTGAACATGCATGTTGCACACAGCCAGATCTACAGACAAAGTATATACTTACTGAAATAAAGATGTTAAGCAGGTTTTCCAGTGTTGGAAGCTGTGGAATCAGTTTCTGTACCACTTTGCTAAATGCTTCAAATATAGAATGATCATATATGCTTGTCAGATAAAAGCTGGAAAAAAATGTCACCACATTTTCCTTTTAGCCACATACTGTGAACATGATGTACCTTTCATAATATGAGTGAAATGAAATATTGTCAAACAGCAAGTGCCTACACTTATGCAATTACTCCTCGTGATCAAAAAGTCCCATGTTATGATTGAAGCATAGGACTTCATTTCTATACAAAAAAACCCAAAACCTAGACACTTCAAACTAGACCTCAGTGTAGAACTTCATGATGCAATTCCCACCTTGGTATTCTTACAAAAATATTTCTTAAATTGCAGAAAAGGAACATTACTGAGTGCATCTGTTGTGATCTACTTTTTGAAAGCTGTGGACCCATTTATCAATGCAATGATGCAGTCAAGTTGTTAAGAGTTCCAAAAAGCTGGCACGTTCATGGAGCAGGACACTCTTTTAAATGCATTTGTACTTGGCTTTAAGTGCTAAGAAAGACATGACAACTTGATGTCCTCCAGTTTCCAGCCTGCAGAAGTACACTGCTTTTCATTATTTGCTACAACATTCTGCTTTATCACTAGACATAAGGCAAAAATACAGCACCTGTCTTCCCAAAGGGCTCCAAGCAGGCTACAGCAGTGAGGATTAGTAACTGGGAGGAGACTGGGAGGCAGAGAGGTTTCAAAGAAGGCAGAAGTGATGTAGGAAGCATATAAATCTAGAGCTCTACTTGCTGCTGCCACTGTCCAAGCAACTTATTTCAAGACAGCAGCTGCCAAAAAAACTGGTAGGACTGGTTTTTTTCACCTATTTATAAGCACATCTCCTCACCTTCTTTCCCTCCAAGACAGCAACTAGAAATCAGATACTTTGTTTGGCTCAGGTCAAATTTAATGTCTCTGATTATCCTTTTCCTTCATTTATCAAAAGCTTGTTATCTGCTACTTCAAGCGGACTAACTATTTGAGTTGCTTTCTTTAGGATTCTCTGCACAGCAGCTGCTCTCACCTGAGGTGAATCTTCTCCAGTCCAGCATCTGCAAGGTCATCATTTGCCCTCTGGTGAATATCTCTTTGCGTTTCAATCTTGTGATCATCAGATAAACCATCCACTTTATGGATGAAGATTTCAAAGTTGATATCTGGATTCACTTTATAGGCTCTGGTCACAGTAAGATGCAACCGAGCTAATGCTTCCATATAATCATCCTAATGAAGTAAAAAGAAAAGCTACAGCTGTAGAAAAGTTCTTAAAGATATATATAAAATGTTATGATACTTAACTTTCAGATAATGCTACAGTTCAACAGCTTAATTTTTTTATTTCTTGTAAGTAGAAGCCTGAACCTGCATCCAGCATGTGCACCAAACTCATGCTGTCAGCACTTACAAGTTTGAGCAAAATCTTGGGATGTTAAAGCAGATTAGTTAATTTTTTAACATACTGCAGAGATTAAAATTAACCAAACAGCTCTTCAAGTTTTAATTACTTCATTTCAATGTGTTTTTGTAATGCTTTAAAAAAATCTGTGCTTTTCAACCCATTTGTCTGTTACTGAATGAAGAAAAGGCAGCTTAAACCCCTCATTTTTACCTGAGAATCAATAACAAATATCAGTGCTCCAGTGCCTCTGAAAATCATCTCATAGTCAAACGTAGGGTCAAAGAAGTCAATTTGCCCAGGAAAATCCCATATCTGAAAGTTGACAAAGGAGCTGTTGGAAACATCCTCTCTGCAGATCTTGTTTGTGCTCTCCAAGAAGAGTGTCTCATTCGGTGACATTTTGTGAAAGACAACTTTCTGAATGGAAGACTTCCCACTTCTTCTCAATCCCATGAGCAGGATTCTTGGCTTAACTTCAGTACCGAAGGGATCATTGAAATCCAAAACTGAATAAAATCACAGAAGAAGAAAACTAATATATTACAGCAATATAATTAGTAACTGCCAGATGACATGCATTTGACATTTATTTTCATGACATTTTTATTTGGATATATGCAAGTATTACCCATTTTTAAGCTTAGGCAGTGATGCTGCAGGCATTTTAACTTGAATTATTTGCCCCTTAGGCTACTTCTCTCCTGTAAGACAACTGCAAAAGGCTTGCTTGCTCAGTTTGTATCTGAAAAATGTGTTGTCACACACAGACATCCTAAAATAACTAATTTTATTATAACACTATCCCACATACATTCTAACCAGACTTCAAAAGAACAGCATCCAGAAACAAATACCCTTGTCAACTGATATTGCATCACACTGCTGGAAGGATCTACCTAAGGCTACACAGGAGCTTCCTCCATCTAAAACAAACAAAACCCCAAACAATTTTTTAAAAATTTTTAAAATCACACATTCCAGGAGCTATGGGAAGAAGACAACTCAGCAAACAATTCCTTTATATTGGGACTTAGAACACAGTGAGCTCACAAGGAGTCCTTTTCTAAGGTAGTTAGGGTTTCACCTGCTATTGAATAATTTGTGTTAGCATCTGTAAGAGCTTGCTAAGCAATAAAGAAGATCACAGCATATCCCCTACTTATTTGTAAACCAAAGGCCTGGGAACACAGTAATTTCATTGTGTTACCTACCCCAGTTTGAAACTGAAACACTAAAACAGAACATTATAGTGCTGATGCAGTTACATTGGCATAAAAGTAGTAACAGGAGTAAACTACACTGTTACATCTATAAGGACATGAATGTCTAGCTACCCACACCTGTAAGCACACCAACTGCAGTCTCAGGTATCTCTAATCCAAACAGCTACAAAAGTCTCAATCGCTGCATTTAGTTGGCGTATAACTTTGAAATGTCCGAGCTGAAAACAGCAGATGTAAAAAAAAGTAGTTTTAAAAATCTTTCAAACACCTCTGTGATATCCTGTCCACAGCACCAAACACAAGCAATGCAAAAAAAACCCAAAACAAAAACAAAAAACAGGAAAAAAAAAAAAGTTGTCAATGCTAAATCTGGGATAAATTTTGAATTGTAGAAAATGGAATACATTTGTTCATCTGCATCCTTCCTGCATGTCCTGCACACTTTTAAGTGATCAACTTTATTTCAAAAGTATGAAAATCCAAATCAAGAAACCTCAGCAACAACAGATTGAACCTGACCATTTATTATAGCCTTATGGGCTGAAACACATGATAAACATGAAGGAATCCTCTTTGCCTTGGAGCATGTTTTGCACCCAGGAATGGTGATCACATCCACCCTCTTGTGCTCAAGCCTCATCCACAGCTTTCAAAAACACAAGAGCAGGCAGTGCCTGCCAGGAGGGCGCAGAACCTTGTTCATGTCCCTTTGTGCCTCCCAAGCTTCAGTTACCCAGAATTAAGGCTTCTCAACGGAAGGTCTTGTGGTGGTAGAATAAAACATCCCCTGGCACCATCTACTGGCTTGTGAGAGGTTATGCCACTCGGTGACGGCCCGTGTCACCGGAGTGACTGACATGGAGCTGAAAACCCAGTCTCGTTGGGATCCTATCTATTTTAAATAGATGTGAAAGGCCTTGACAGGTGTTACCACTTACTGTGCTCTTGTCAATTATCATACATGAAACACTGCCAGGCTGGAGCAGCGCACAGATGAAACTCCTTCAAGCAGCACAGAGACAGGTAACTGTAAGAATTTCATCCTCTCAATGCAGCAAGGGCCAGCTTCTGCTGATCCACAGACAACAGGTTTAGGAAGTAATAAAAGGCAGTCAACACACTGCTATCTCTTCCTGTCAACCTGAACAGTGATAGGACCCTTCTGTACCTGCAAGAAGCATGAGCCTACAATATTTCACTCCTATAGAGGAATAATAAAAATCTGCTTTAGGACAATGCAACAATATATTATGTTTTGGGGGTGCAGTCTTGTCAATAAAGCGTATCAAAAGTAGAGGATTTAGCAGCTTCCCCCACCCCACCCTCTCCTGTAATGCACAAATTTGCCACAGCTGTCAAATGTATAGTTGTCATTTCATTAATGTGCATATATCCACACATCATCTGATTGCATTTTGGCCATCAGGAGGGAAAATAATTTATTCAAAGCTTTACAAGAACTAGTTTGAATAAAATATTTTTAATAAAGGCATATGAAGAACAGTCTTCTCATTGAGGCTTTATTGCATGTTTCAAAAAATTAAAAAAACTCCCCATCGCTCTGCATGCAACAGAACTTAAGAAGTCTAATTTGCTACAGATTTCTCCTTTGTGTCCACTTTTTCCCACCACAGTAACATCAACTTCTCCCTGTATGTCTTATGACATATTCTCCAAGTAATAGATTGACATGTTGTGCTGATCTGGAGCTCAACACATGCTTGCCTGTCCCCGTGAGGACACTTTCATTTGGGTCTCTCTTCTGAATGCCAGTTTTCATCAGACCTGTGGGAACTTCATAATCTTTGAGATGCATTTCATCCAAATTCGGTTGAAGGCAGACAGCAGTCTCCTAAGTCCTGACTGGGTGATGAGAAAACCAGAAGACAGGCTACCTACATAACTCCCTTTTCTTTAAGAAATAATAATAAAAATTGGCATGCATCTAAAAAACTATTTTAAATATCTTAGGGTTTTACACTGTTGTTCTATTAATTTATTCCGGGTTGTTACGTTTTTATGGACTGTGATACTTACTTGAAAAATATTAATTTTTATTAAAGCCATACTAAAAAAAATACAGTTGCAAGTGCAAACAGAGATACTGATGAGAAGAATGAACAGCAGCTCTTCTACTAGTAGGACTGTTACTTAGCTTTGAAATCCTGCCAGTTCAAAGACAGGGAAATGTAAATGAGGGTGATCCAAACCTGACTAGATAGCAAGGCTGCTATAGCACTTTCCTCTGAGAGAGAGTTAAGAGATTACCTTATATGTAAAGGAATTGGACCATGCGCTGCCTGCCCACATTCCTTTGCAGAGTACATGACAATTCTTCTTTAATTTGCCACAGAAATGCCAGTAGATGTATCACCACCACTTCCCAGACTAGGTTACTGAGTGAGATCATAACATGCCTAGGAAAAACACTAAATGCTTCTCTGCTCTGTAATGTGAAAGATAATTTTCCCTATTGTGAGATGCACCACATTTCCTGCTTCATTCACTTTTTCAAAGACTAAATGTTATAAAAGGCCAGTTTCTAATACCTATCAACAGTCACCACTTCTCTAAGCAGCCATAAAGAAGTCAAGGCTGGTGAGAGGCCATATCCTTTGAAGTATTCACAAACTAAACGAATTCAAAAGCACTTTCCCCACAGAGAAGCACTTAATTCCTTACAAAACTTCTGTAATTGTAGTCCTGTCCTTTCTTATAGAGTGCAGTTTGAGGGCATTGCAAAATGCAGAAGAGCCCAGCTCCAAGGATTTCACTGAGAACTGCACGTAGTAGTCCTGGCCTGTCTCACCAGGATGCACTGTACATAATGAATACTTTACTATCTCCTTCACGCTATTAGAGATATTAATTGGTAACTAAGTTAGTTTTTAAGCCTGTCCTGAATTCCACATCAACTGCAATTAGTTGTCAAGGCAGGTGACAGTGATTCACAGGTATGTGTGGCAGGAAT